ATCTTCGATTAAAGTTTGAAAGCTGAAAGTCTGTCGCGATAAAGTGAAATAATTTTAAAAAAGTATACGTGAATCCTTTACCCAAAATTTCACGAAAATCTGCAAAAACGAAATTTATCCGTTCACCCATTTATTTTGCAATTTCAACCACATATAAGATATCTATCGTATAGGCAAATAAGCTGATGCGGCTTTAAATAAATAAATTAAAAAAAAAAAGAAAGAATATCCAGATATCGAATTAATGTGACAATTCCACTTCCCAGCTTCACTGCCAAGTGCCCCAAAAATAAGAAAGCTAATATATTCGAAATCTATTCCAAGTACACCCAAGTGTTCCTAAAATAATCGAGCATCGGATTATTCGATTACTTCTAACCACGTTCTTCAACGCGGAATATTGAAAAGACGAGCAAAAGGGTTCGGCCCCAGAAGGTCACGAGGAACTTCGACAAAGGAAAGCACAATCGTGCCAGCCTTTTTCTCTCGACCCACCAACTGCCCAAATAACTCTTCAGCTGTTTCGACCTGGCCTGAAAGGCAGGTGGCTCAAGCAGGACTACTGCCATAAGTAGGTCCTCCATATTCTTAATGCAGGTACTGGATAAACACGAACCCTTCGAACGCAGAAAATTCGATATGGACTTGGTTCTATGTTCGATCTGAATCGAACTCAGCATCCATCTAAAATTCTGGAGCTACATTCCTATGCTGAACAAAATGTTCCTTAGCTAAAGCTATTTTTCTCAGACCTTCGTTAATCTTGCTGCCCTAATAAAATATTAATACGTAGTACTACAAGGCAGGTATTATCAAAGGGGACCAGGCGGTCGATGAACTTAATTTCCAGCGAAATTCAGTTATACGCAACTTCGTTGCGAACGTAAATTTCGCTTTGGTTAAGGTGACTTGGGCAAAATGACTTTAGTGACACGCGTGAAGGATGAAAGTAAGTAGCGTGATTAAAGTCAGCCAAATTTTGGCAATTTTTCTAGATAAGATTAGGCATTTAGAAAAAATCTCCAAGGTTTGGAATATTCCTGAATGCAGTGTTTTTGTAAATTTCAAGGATATTGGGTCGTTTAATTTAATATTTCGGCAGTTATTACTTATTTAAAAAATTCTACAGGTCCTCTTTGAAGCTGATAATACTGTACTTGCACACTGTGCACATTTCACTTTCTTAGCATGCAGCATTTCATTGAAATACTTCTAGACCACGTACCATTGCCTCGTTACTCTCAACCGACACCCGCAATTTGATCCATATTACTAACATACCGCAACATTCAACACTTCTACAGTCTCCTACCGTCCAATATTATTCACCCTACAAGAAACCCTTTCTTCCACTTTTCACATCCTTGAAACATCCTCAAAATAAGTTTGTACTCCGGTGACAACAATTTTCTCACATATTCTTTAAGTCCTAATATTTAAATTATAGTCGGGGCCACGATATAGCGAGGTCGTAAAATCGGTTAGGCGTCAAAGTAAACATGTTTTAGCTGCCGGGACCCCGAAATTGGCAGAAATACGAGCAGATAAGTACTTGAAACCATGGTCAGGACCGTACAAAGAATTCTTGTATCCAGCGAAAGTCAAACTGATTCTAATATATTTACTGAAAACTGCATGCAGCTAGGACAAATTAGGGTTTCTCCCTCTGGGGGAAGCCGCTTTTGGAAGTACGGTTACAAGTAAAGGTCTTATTGAGGTCTTTAACATCTTCATTTACCTGCTCGTGTTATATACAGATAGAAAATGCAAAAGGATTGTGTAGCTTTAATATTAACATATTTTCCATTTGTAAATGAAATACCATTTTCTACTTGAAGTACCAAATCATATGCTACCATTCGTTTATTGTTGGAACCCTCAAACAGACTGCAACACACGGCCTTGGGTGCCGCAACATCAATCGATGCCGATTCTTGAGAGTTTAATTTACGACCTCGCTATATCGTGGCACCAACTATACCTACAAATGCTAAATTTATATTCTCAGAATTTTCTACCGCAATTTTTTCAAGTTCAAACTTATGTAAAAGAACGACTCGCACATCTCTATTGTTTATCACTTCAGATAAGAATGTCCAAACAATTGTATTATGAATTTTTTACTATTTAATACACCTGCCCTCCTTCTCGTATAAAAATTAGATTTTAGAATTTTAGAATTTAGATGAATATTTCCAACGGACCTTTAAATTTCATAGAAAAGAAAACCAAAGTGCTTCTGATTCCACCTTTCTCTATTTATTTCGGAAAGACCATTACGCTATAGAATTTCCTCGAATTCTTCTTAAAATATTTTCAGCGTTCGGTACGAAAAGTATTTTCCACATAAATAATCCCCTAATTTATGGGACGACCTAATACTTATCTAATTCACAAGGGAACTGTGGCAACCCAAAAATTCCAACTTTTTCGCAAACCTGCTAATTTCATCCGTTAAAAAATAAATAACAAAACAGCCCTGAAAGATCGACACTTCTTCCTTTTTAACTCGAGTAACTTTTCGACTCTTCCCCGTGCATGTCTATCAGACTTTTCGCAGGAAGATCACAAGAGAAATAAAGCAAAGCGTCAGCCAGAGTTACACGGCCGGAATGACGCGATTTCTTTTGAAGGAACAGGTGATAGGGCCTGGACGATGGTCCGCGGTCGTTCGTCCTTAATTAAGGTAGACCTCTCAGCGGGCAAAGGGAAAATAAAAAAGCTCGTGCTCGCTCGCCAAGCAATTTCTGGCCGGGTAACGGTACACCGTGAATTCGTCGTTGGAATCGCGGATTTCGATCGCTTCCTCAACTTGATTTTACGAGAGCAACCCCTCGTACACCACTGCAGCCCTTTCGTTCGGCTCGACTCCGACGTCGCACCAACCGTGGATTTCGACGGGCCTTTTCTCCAACCATGAATTCCACGGATTTTTTCCTATTTGCACGTTTATCTGACTTTTTCTAGAGGATTCGACGAAACGTATGAATTCTCCCGACGAGCTCTGTTGAATGTGAAACTCGCGAAAACAGGAATTTTCCGGCGAAGAATCGGATAAATTTGGACAATCGTTGAGAAAAAACCTTCGTGAATTTTGAAGAACTTTGGATTAGAGT